GGTACCGTATTCTACTAGTCGCTTCTTCCAAATACTGCCAGTTGTACCCTCCTGCTTTCTCTAGCTGGCTAACTATAATTCCTGAATCCTATCGAATGTATGGTAGAATTTGCCCCTGTCACCAATGCCAAGTTGTAATAAGATTTCAAAGCCAAGTCTATGCAATAAAATGAGACTGTGACCAAACCAAAGGTCACACCATTTTATCATTTATACGTACACACTTAAGCAATTCTGAAATTTACTAATCATATAAAGACAGAGAAACCGTTAAAATAAGGAAGTACCAGTGACTCACTCTACTCAACGTTTTTATATCTTCTTCGAGGCTGTAGCAGCTCTTTGGACAAATCGTCTGTCTGCCAAATGGGGCATAGTTGCTGGCGCGTAGACCGGCGGAAAGCACATTTGGCATACCATGGAGACCAGTTGTTCCGGTCGACTGGTTTGCCTTGACGTCAGCACTGTATTGAAGTGCTCCACTTGATCCGACGGCTGATGTGGACGAGGCGGCAACGAGAGTTGGACTGTTTGCATCAACCATAGCTGATGGGGAGGCCGAATGCTGGACTCTAAGACGGGACCAGTGATTCGGCGGCTTAGGTGCAGACGTCTGCTGTTGTTTCTGTTGAAGGTATTGTTGATGTTCCATAAAAAAGGCCGCCGCTGTGGAGTGCATCGAGGCTGGCAAGACGGAGAGCAGTGATTCCAGGCCCAAGAGACATTGTGGCGACGGGTACCAGTGGTTCGGTGGCGAGGTGAAAAGAGAGGCGGCAGATATGGTTGCTGGGCCGTTGCTACTGTCGGCGTTGAGGTCGAGTGGAGAAGATGGAGACACAGGGTCAGGGTAGCCGGAGACGGCCGAGGCGTCTGGCAGGCCAGTGGGCAGAAAAGAGGAGGCATGATGGGCAGCTGGAGGCTGGAGATGGGACATCCCATGACCTGTGCTTTGGGTCAAATTGTCGCCGACATGTGCCTCACAGGGGGGCGGGAGAGTGCGTTTGGCCGGCGACATGTCGTTCTCCGGAACCGGCGGATGATAAAGCGAGGCGGTATCTGCAGAGCCGGACAACTTGCGCCAGATTCCGGGCGCCGAGACGCTTGGAGAGGCGGTGAAGGCGAGAGATCTGGACAGAGCAGAGATTGGCGCCGAGGTCGACTTTTGGGTTGTGGGTTGTGCCAGAGAAGATGCCAACGGCATCGCCAACGGAGGTGGCATCAGAGACGAGGGCATGAGAGGAGGGGAGATAAGGCCTAGTCGGCCAGTGGCAGAGGAGGCAGTTCGTGTTGTCGTGAAGAGGTCTTGACCGTTGAGGGTGGGCAGACCGACGGTGGCCTGTGCTCGACTGGCCGAAATCAGGCTGGCATAGAATCCCGGCGAGAGGAAGCCGTCGGGTGGGAAGAGAGAGGCCGGTGGTGGAGGCGTCGACTTGGCGTCGACGAGGCCCGACGTGGGAAAGAAGAGTCCGCCGGAGGAGGTGGAAGAGGACGAGGGCGAGGGCAAGAGCGAGGCGGAGCAGGAGAAGGAGACGAGACCGGAACTGGCTGAACTGGTGGAGTTCAGGTTGCCCGACGAGTTGGGCAGACTCAGTCCAAGCGGAGGGGCCGAAAAGAGACTGGATGACAGAAGGTGTGTGGGTACGGATGTGGGCCCAGAACAGGGCGACGAGGAGGCTGATGTG